TCGAATTAAATCGATTCCTTCACAAGAATTCAAGATCTCTAAGTCCACCTATCCAGATATATTTTTATTGTATTTTTTTTTATACTCATGGCGCTTAATAAATGGAGTCGAAATAAAAAAAAATCAGTTTCTTACTGAAGTAGGAGGGTCTCTCGATTTTGTTTTCTGATGCGATTTTTGGCTGCGTTTCCTCTGAAAACTTGCAAGACTCGTCACCTAAAGTGTTGCAACTAGATTATTAAGGTCTAAATCATCTAAAACCCCCGGATCTATGGTGAAATCTTGAAACAAGAGAGGTCGTGGACTTACCTCGCGTTCTTGCCAGTTTCTTGCCGGAAACGAACGATCCAATGCTCAGATCGCTCCTCTTGATACTTTGAGTAGCTCTAGTAGGAGAACTAAGATCGAGGGTGCTTCAGTTCGGGTTTTGGGGCGTTTCACCCTCCTTCCTCTTCTTAAAAACCCTAACTATTCATTTCTTTCCCTATTTTTTTTTTATTATTTTTATTTTCTTTTTTCTTTTCCTTCCTTCCAGGTCTGTCCAGACCTCCCTCAAGGTGGTAGGTATGGGGCAAAATTACCTTTTTGCCCCCAGTTGACTTTGACCCAGATTTCGATTACATCACCATTTTTTTTTCAAAGTTCCTTGATGCGCATCCGGAGCATTTCTTTTTTCTGCACCGTTTTGAAAATCACACTCTAACTCCAATAAAATTTAAAAACTCACAATAGTTAAGAAGGTGCTAGTCACAAGGATGGAATGAATTGTACCTGTTTGACTCTAGGTGTTACAAGTACAAACTAAAACATGAATTGAAATGGGAATAGAAATGAAGGATGGTTAAAAGATATTATGGGTTGATGTTGTAAATACAACCATCTACTTGATCAACAAGCTAAATTGAATCTTCGTTTTTCTTAAAATATCCTTATTTCCTAAATATTTTAGATCTAAAGATAATTTTTCAATAAAGTTGTTAGATCGAATACGCAAAAGTTACAATAAATCATCTTGATCCGTTGGTTTTAACATTTGCTAGGACTTTCTATATAGTTCTTAAATCCAATTGATTATGGTTTTATATCATATATATTATATATATACACATCAACATAAGCGTCATAATTATAAGAAAGTTGAACAAAAATATGCATATGGAAATATAGCATGCTTAATGTTAGAGTTAAATAATTAAACATAAAATATTCGGAATCGCACACAATTTATACATTCTATCCAGATAAACAAAAAGAATCATAAGAAATAAATTAAGAAAAATATTGGATAAATGTTTATACTGATGAGTTCAAGTACGTATTATCAAACTTTTTTACTTTTATGCTTTTCTTTAAGTACGATGTTGATGGTAGGAATACCTATAAGAAATTTTAAAGATAAACGCTAAAGAAATTGCACTTAACACCTTTATATCTTGAATTGAATCAAGGAAAAAAAAAAAAAAATAGAAACTGAACCAAGGATAAGAGTTGTAATACTTTGTTGCTTCTCTTCTCATATGGCTGAGTCTAAATTTGTTATAATACATCAAAGAAATTCAAAAGAGAAAGCCAAGGAATCCATAAAGAAATTTAACCCACACATATTATGTATTCAACTTTTATCATTAAAATTCGTTTTACTTGGAATAAAAACTCTCTAAATCGAAGTGTTTTCCTGTTTATTGATGTGTTCTTCTATTGCTATGGCAAGATCATAAGCTATGATGTCTTCTACAAACATGTAGACAAACTTCTTATAAATCAAATTGGATTAGTTTTAAGGCATGAAATTCATCATAAAGGTCTACTTTCTAAGTCAAGTTACTTTTTTCATAGTTCAAAGGAAGCAGAATTTGAACTTTATTGGGTAGGCGCACTTTTGTCTTTCATGACCAAATTTCTTAGTTTCTTTGAAGCAGATTGCAACTTAACGAGGGGTTTAAAACATAAAAGTATTATATTTACGTTAGGAAAGAAAAATTTAAGTTCAAATACATAAATGGAATGAGTTGCAAAATGACTGACAAAAGGACACAGCACAGTTGAAGCTTTGTTTCCTAGCATCGTCTCTTTACGCCACTCTCTCAAAATCTACTCCTTTTCTCGACCAACTCAAGTTTATCACCAGAAAAACATTTAAGACATGGAGTGAGTACAATAATAAGTAATCAGTAAGTAATGTATTTGTAGGTTCTTAATGGTGTCCATGTTGGATTCTAGGGTACAACACCCCTTTCTTGATCATGAGACATATCTTTTTTCAATGTCCTATAAACCTTAGTCCGTTGGTTCGGGCCACAAATTCTAAATAAATAACATAGTTCTATTTCAAGGACCTTGTTGTCACGGTCATGCGTCCAAGGCATGTTGCCCATGGCCGCATGCCCATGACAAGCCCAAACCTTTATGTCTTTTCATATTCTAGTATTTTACTTTTGTATTTCTAGAAAGTATGACATTTCAGAAATATCATGTCTAGGCCTATCAGACATGAAATGTCTCAGAATGTACTATAGGGGGATACGACTAGTTGTCAACTTCTCCCTACCTAAGGTTATATACTGTGAGGCATTGTTATTTCTCTCTTGCTTGTTTATATAACGTCTCTTTCAAAAATCTCTCTTTGCCCTCGTTTTCTAAAATCTTCTCTTAAAACCGAGGTCAGAGGCTCGAGCATATGTCGCTTGGCCATAGGCGACGCAAGAACGAATTGGCTTAGCTCACTTGTCGTTGGAAAGTGAGTGTCGCACAATCGCAAGTCCGTTGCCATCAAAAGTGCGATTGTGACAAGTGGTATCAGAGCTTTGTTAGCTCCGTGAAATAGCAAAGACCGAAAACATGTCGACGACAAAGTCGACACCCAAATCACAAGCCGACCCGCTTACTTTAATAGAGGGGGAAATGTTGTTCCTCAAAGAAGTCCCTGACACCATCCGCTTCCTGGAAGCACGGGTGCCAGAATTGAATGGAAAAGTCGTAGAAATCGACGCAATGGGCAACTGCCTGGATGGGTTACCAATCGCAGAACTGATGTTTCGAGTGACCTCACTCGAAGAAAGAGTTGCTCCTACGAGCAGCCCAAGACCGTCTGGTAGCCCCGATAGCTCTATCGCGCACAAGGAGGGATGTGGCGAAGAGTTTGACGTGCTACAAAATACAATGATGAGTTTGTTCAATGGATTAGCTGACGAATTCAGAACAACGATCGATGACATCCAAGAAAAGATGTCCATCATGAGCACCTGAAGTGAGGTGACCATGAAAGTCGTGGAGAACATCACGGCTGGGCAAACTAATACAGGATCCAATAAACTGAAGTCCCCAGACCCTAGACCTTTCAAAGGAAACCGAGATGCCAAAGAGTTAGAGAACTTCATCTTTGATGTCAAACAGTACTTCAATGCCACAATGGCTTGTACCGACGACATAAAGGTGACAATAGCCTCAATGTATCTCATAGATGATGCCAAACTTTGGTGACATATGAAGGGGCAAGACATTGAGAATGGATTGTGCACCATAGACTCGTGGTAAGACCTCAAGAAAGAGTTGAGGGACCAGTCCTTCCCCGAAAACGTATAACATCTAGCAATGAAAAAACTAATAGCCCTACAGCAAACTGAAAACATAAGGGACTATGTCAGACAGTTCACGACCCTGATGCTAGATATCAGGGGCACATCAGAGAAGGACAAGGTATTCTTCTTTATAAATGGGTTTCAACCGTGGGCTAAAACAAAAGTACACGAGAAAAAGATCCAAGACCTAGCTACCGCAATTGCCAGTGCCGAGAGACTCCTAAACTATGGGAACGAAGGGGGTCACCAAAGAAGAACAACACAGGCCCCAAACACTGGGGACAAAACATATAAACCGCCAGGTCATCGAAATGGAAGCTCCAATAGGCCAAACAGAAGTAACAATAGACCAAGCCAGTGGACAGATAGACCAAGCGGGGACATCTCGAGAACCTTACTCTCAAAGGAACCACCCGACAACACCTTTACAATGCCTGTTGTGTAAAGGCCCCCAAAAACTGTCCTACTGTCCTCATCGGGCCTCTCTCAGTGCATTTCAAGTGTCCATTCAAGAGAGCAACGATACAGGAGTCGAGACTCTGATAGATAAGAAGGAAGATCAAGACAACCTCCAAATGGGTGCGCTCAAATTCTTGTCCGCCCTCAAACGGAAGGTCGATCCGAATGAGATAATAGAGAAAGGGCTCATGTTCGTGGAGTTGACAATAAACTCTCAAACAAGCAAGAGCACCTTGATAGACTTAGGAGCGACTCACAACTTCATCGCCGATCAAGAAGCACGAAGATTGGGACTCACCATAGAAAAGGACTTGGAAAAATGAAAGCTGTCAACTTCGAGGCCTTGCCTATTGTGGGAGTTCCAAAAGAGTCCCCTTCAAATTAGAGGCTTGGACAGGAGAGTTAGACATTGTCGTGGTTCACATGGACGACTTTGACGTGGTACTTGGAATGAAGTTTCTCCTAGAACACAAAGTTAACCCAATGCTACTGGCGAAATGCTTGGTGATCATCGACCGCAACCCCACAGTAATACCTGTAAGCATCAAGCAACCAGGTAATCTTAGAATGATTTCGGCCATACAATTGAAAAGATGACTCGCACGAGAGGAACCTACATTTGTACTGATGGAAGAAGTGACTACTGAAGAAACTATTCCAAGCGAAATCAAGGAGGTACTAGACAGTTATGCGGACATAATGCGAGAGAGCTTACCACACACTACAAGAAAAGTACCTTTTCATAGCATTGTAGAATAGCATTTTTAAAATAATGCTATGAAAAAGAAGATCTCTCTTCCCTCCCTTTTTTTTCTTTTTCGGTTTCCCTCTCATATCTTTTTCTTTTTAGGTTTCCCTCTCATTTCTTCCCTTCTTTCTCCTAGCCCTAGATCCATCTCTTCTCTCTCATTTCTCTCTTTTCGGTTTCCATCTCTTCAAGCTCATTTATTCGGTTCTTTCTCTTAGCCTTAGATCTATCTCTTCTGGGCTTTTTCCTTTCTTTCCATTGACAGTTTCAAACTCACCCATTTCTCTCATTAGGCTGCTGGAAGTGGTCGACAACAACCACAACAACGGCGGTAGAGGCGGCGGCGAGGATCATGATCGGAACGCAGATGATTGGGATTGGACGGCCCTACTATCGCAATCGTACAACTAGAATGAACTGGATGAGATGCAGAGGAGCTGGCTTCTCGGTCTGGTGGAGGGAAAGAAAAACAGATACGTTGACCTAGGTTGTGTAATCATGTCGAAGAAGGCTTTGAAATAGGAATACCGGTGGAATCAAGATGTGCCCATCCTATTTTTTTTCGAACGACGCATGGTACGGCTCCCCTATAAAAGATTTTGTATTTTAATCAACTTTTTTTTTCTTCTGTTGTTCAGTTTAGAAGCTTAGTGCTTGAAATGGCCTGAGCAGGGCTTTTGATTTTGATGCATCACTTTTGAATTTGATTCTTTAGTTAGGTAAAATAGAGTTAAAGGGCCATTTAAATACAGGAGAACCATTATTGTAGAATAACTTTCACTTCAGTGTTAGGAGGACATGTGTGGTTGCGGTAAGAAAGGAAGGAGTGAAGGGGAAATCATAACCATTAGCTCATTATGTTATTGGCTATTTGGATGAGAAGCATAGATATAGACACGAGACAAATTAATATAACAAAGATAGAACACTATATTTTTAATGTCTAGAACACATTATAAATTACCATAATTAAGCGATTAAGTAACTGAGAGTTGCTTCGAGCAGTGGAGAGGGGTGAAAGGGAAATGATTGAGAGTGAAAAATTGATAAGATATGAATGATTAAAGGGGCAAGCATAATAATATTGGAGACTAGTGGAGATTTTGATATAATTTAGTTGGAAAGAAAAGAATGTTGTGTGGGATATTAAGTAAGATTGTTGGGACTTGAGCAAAGAAGAATAATAATAGAGACTCTGTAGGTTTTGTTTGGTGTAATTTGAAGTAAGGTGTGAATTTTAAATGTGCTTCAGAGGGAGGAAATTTGGACTTTTGGTAGTGTGACAATGTCTTATTTAGGCTCTATGTCAAATTAGAGATTGAGAAAATGTGACCAATTTTTCAATAACAAAGTTGCAAAGTTGCACAACAAGCTGCTTTCCATTACCTTCACAAGGATTCAAACATGCTTGATACCCACATTTTGCTTATGCAAAGAATTCTAAACTCTTCACAATATGGTAACAAATTTTTCTCTGCTTATTTATCATTTTTTTTTCAATATTTACTATTTTGGTTTTAGTTGATGATGTGAGGATGAGTACATGTGAAAAAAATGTTAATGTATGCCTTCTTCCTCTTTCCATTTTTTTTTTTTTTGCTCTTGGGACATTTTATCTTTTTAGTTCTTTATTATCTCTTACACATGAGTGATTCTACTTCAAATTCTTCATTGTCTTAATTCACTTTGAAAAATATTTATCTAATGACAATTTTAATTAAAAGACTCCTATCCATTACAAAGAAGACTTTTAATCCTTTGTTTCCCTCTTGATTTAAGCTTTGCAACGTACAATTTGTTAAAGTAGGTCGTACTGACACAATTAGTGTTGTCATCTTATATTTGTTTTGGTTTTAATGTTAATGATTTGTTCTTATAGGGTGCATATAAGGTTAGTTGTTGTGGAAATAGGTTGTTATGGAATGGGAGTGAGGTCAAGGAATAATTGAAAGTGTGTCTCTATCTTCTCTTTCTTGCATTTCTTTGATATTGAGTAATTGTAAACAAGTTCATTCATAGAATAGGTGGAAAATGAGATCATTTTAGAGATTGTTACAAAAAATTTCTAATATCTCACTACTAGTCTACACTATATAAGTCTCTATCTCTTTTTTCCTTTTCTTACCATTGCATGTCTTTGTGGTCATAAAAAAGAATACATTTGTAGCTTTTAAATATAACATTTTGAACTAAAAGCTATGAAAAATTGAACACCATGAGCTATATTTTTTGTTGTACAATTTTTTAACTCCGCAATTTTTATTTCTCTCTCCTTCCATCTTTTGGTTTTTGTCCATTTCATTTCACAACTTCTTTCCCTCCTCGCGCATCAAAATTCTTCTTTCATTTTGTCAACCTACTTCTATATTACTAATTATCCTCTTTCAGAAAGTTAGAGAGATGAAGATGAGCAGAGCAATAGTGACTTGAAGGAAGAGGCTTTCGAGATGTCGTACCACGAGCCTCCAAAGATTTAGGTAAGCAGTACTCCAAAGATTTAGGTAAGCTCAATTGGAATGGGTTGCTATATTTACAGTCACTTCACTACAACAAATTAGTCACTTCACTACAACAAATTACCCTTTCTATAGCTTTTGAAGATAGCATTTACTAAAACATGCTATAAAAAATTGATAAAAAAAGGCGGACACAAAATAAATAAAAAAAAAAGCTAGATATATTTTTTAAAATAAAGAGCTCTTTATTTACTCTCTCTCTTCCTCCCTTCGTTTTGCCCTAATTTACAGGCGGAGGCTAGATTTTTTTTTCTCTCCATTTCCTCTCTTCCCCTTGTGCTCCATTTTGCCATAATCTACAGATTTGGAGTTATAACCCATGTATTTCATCTGTTTCTTCCTTTTGTATTCCATTTTTGTCTCGGATGGCAACTTCGTCTTTTCTCTATCCTCATGCCAATGTCTGCTGATCTGGGCCAAATGAAAAAGCTCTTAATCGAGGTTAGCATTCACATGTGTGTTTAATCTATTGAGCATAGTTCAATATTTGTGTCTTGAAGGAGGAGTACATAATACCAACTACATTTTAAAACGAGAATGAGCAGAGTGGATTTGCATCCTGGTTTCTCATTTCTTAAACATTTGGATTGATACTTTGGATTGATACTTCTTCCTTTATGTTCTAGGGTTTAGGGTTTCTCTATGTTTTGATGTTTGGTTCTTTCTGTTTTGGCCCCTTCATTTTCTCAATTAATTTGGATATTCAGTTTTGGAGATGATGCTTTTGATTTCTAGCATTTTGATGCATTTTGATTAATTTAAGAGATTTAGTTAAATTCAGGGGTGTAATTCTCGCATAATTTTGTTGTTGTTTATTTTCCTTGTAGAATTTGTTTCACCCATGGCACTAACTTGGAGAGTTAAGGCTCTGTTTCAACTTTGTGAGTTATATTTTAGTAGATCTTCCAATTTTGTGGCCATGGTTTTTCCTATGTTTGTTTCAATAAGCATATCATCCTTACTAATTGAAGTTCTAAAGCTATACTTTTGACAAATTTAAACACTTTGTTTCTCTTAATTGGTCTTTCTCGCTTTCATTTTCTGCTGCTACTTGAGTGATGCTGTAAGATTATGGTAGAATCAGAGGATGAACTGAAACTATTGAATGTACTATTTCCTCCGATCATTCTTATTGAACCATTTCATTTTAAAAGACTTTATTATTTAGTTATATAAATTATTTATTCATACCTCTAAATTTCAGGCATTTTGGGGCATTTGGAGAGCAATTTGTATGTATGATTAGAATGATTAATTGGAGTTTAAATATGCTTAATCTAGACAAACACATTGAACTAAACTCGAAATGCATGCATGATTAAAGCTATAACACTGAGGAGTGGAAGCACATGGTGCCCCCCTAGAAAGCATGTTGTCGGTGATTAGTATCTGAATGAAACTACACCTATTCATGAGGCTACAAAGCCTTCTATTTCCTTTCTTCCTTTTCTCCTTCTCATAGTTGTTACCTCACTCTTTTAGTAAAGAGGCCGTTTGTGTAGGGGGATTATATATGCATTGTAACTTGCTACTGTAAAGGTGGAGACATGTAAGTGATGTTTATTTAAATTTTCAATCCTTTTGGAGTTTGCTTCATTTATGACCTTTAATGGTTGTTTATTTTTAGATTGAATAAAAAAAATAAGCAACCTTTATAACAATGTCTTTCAATTTTCCCTCTAAAGAATTATAACTAAGTGAAGAACAAAAGTTCGAACATTTTGTGGAAGTTCAATATCACTGCAACAAATACCATCTTTTATAGCTTTTTTGTATAGCATTTTATTTTATTTTTTTAATGTTATCCCTAAAAACCTAATCACGCGTATAAAAGCCTTCCTTTCTTTCTCTCTTTTCCCTCTAGACACCCATATTCTCTCAGACCCTAGGGCAAAACCAAATCTCGCCTTCTTTCTCTCGCGCAACAATCCATCCTTCCTTCTTTCGTGCTTCAAAATTTTTCCCTCAAGATCCATCCTTCTTTCTTTCGTGCTTCAAAATTTTTCTCTGATTTGCATCAAATCTCAAGATGGTGGCATTGAGAGGAGGCATACAGTTTATTGTTGATGCTTTGTCTATGAAAAACCCTATTCTCCTACCTCACTGCAGATTGAACAATCCAAGATAGAGGTTAGTTGTTTTTTTTTTCCTATTATCTTCTTTGTTGGCTCACTTTGTAAAGAATTTCATTGATGAATTATTATAAGTGATTTGTCTCTGTATCTTCCTTTTTAATTTCTTTTTGAATGTAGTTCTGTGAGTTAGATTGAAGGATCGAACTACTACTAAATAATGCAGTTTTTCATTTACATTTAGTACACACTAATAAATTTTTGTGAGTTCAGTCCTTTAGTCCTTCATTAAGTAATGTACTTTACTTTTAAGTGTGTATTTTCCTAGCTGTAGAATTTTTCTTTGAATGTAGATTGGTGAGTTCTGTGAGGTAGATGTAGTTGTTGTCTTGTGTTAAAAAGGTTGAATGTAGTGTTGTGAGTTACATCAACGGAATAAAAACATAATACAAGAAACTATCTTTTTTTTTCATTATGTTGGTTCAATCAATACATGCCCAAATTGAGGAACCACATGAAGATTACAAACAAAAAAAATAAGCCTAAGAGTACAAAGTAATTAAGTTTAGAGGAATTTGTTAATTCATAGGTTATTTCAAGCACATTCTACCGGTAGGAATGATTTATGTTAACGGGTTACATATTCTGCAAGTATCAAGTAGTAGGAAGAAGTTTATACACGTATTGATGGACTGCATATAAATTCCTTGAGCAAAATACCTATTGTATTATGTATAACTAAATTTTTGTGGCCTTTTCTCCTTGATTTTTTTTTTCCTTTGATATATTAGGTCTCCTTTTCTCCTTCTTTGTGTATAACTTATTAAATACATGATCGGCAAGATCACTCACTTTCACACAACAACAACAAGAACTTGTGTGGCCCTGTTGTTACTGTTACTGTTATTTTGCATTTAGGTCTTCCAATAACACA